CACCTCCATACATATATATATATTAACCTGAAAAAAAGATTTAAAGAATACCCTAGATGAATCAATTTTTTTTTAGCAATGTTTAAAAGAAGAAAATTATCAAAAACAGACATTAAATAACAGTCAGTGCAAACATTAGAGGTGCGATTTAAATAACTGAGATTAGTATTAAAGTGTCCAACTAGAGGCTGACTCTTGGGACAGCTGTGCAGATGGGAAATGGAAAAAAGAAGATTTAGTCCAAGAGTCACTGTGTGCTTTCCCCCTGCCGTAACCGTGAGGTGTTGTACAGACGTACGGCCACCACATGTGAAGGTCTGGATGGTCATGTATGCTCCGTGTAAGAAAATGACGTGTTGCACTAAAGTAAATAAGTCTGTGCTGTGAGCCAGTCATCCATTCATAACGAGCTGTAAAATAACAGTTTGATTGATTGATTGATTATTGACCCTCTGCCTGCACATTTCCCCAATTATTGGATCCTAAAATGGGTTTTGCAGCCATAAAAACTGAACCTTTCTGTTGAAACACACGAGTTACTGCAGCAATGTGATGCATAAATGAAATCAATGTAAGAACTAGAAAAGCCTAAAAACAAGCTGTTAAATTACCTGCAGTGTGAGGGAGCTCTCTCCAGAACCTTCCACCAAAGGGACTCCAGCTGGTTCACTGTCAGAAGACACCTGAACTACCAACATACCAGCAGCAGCACCTGGACTCACAGAGCACAGGGGTTAGAGACTAGATGGAAAAGGTAGACACGACAAGTGCTCATCGGGAACAATGTGCAGACCTTTCTCTTTTTTCTGCTGTTTATACTTTTTTTGTCCTGCAAACAGGAAGCAGTTAGCTCAGAAACAGGAAGTAGTTAGGGATCACAAACTAAAGTCAAACAGCTCAAAGGTAAATGTTTGATATTTATTTGTTACTGTGACTTCAGATTTGTTCGTGTTGCCATATCAAACTTCATAGCGTCACATAGAAAGATGACCTCTTCCTTGTTTGACTGAATAACTGAGTTTCAAACACAACATTTAATTCTCTTTCAAAAATAAAGTGCAAAAAAAATAAGAAAAAAATGGAGTGGAGTTTATGGTAGAGCTGTTAGATTGGATTGGAACAGGAGGTCATAATGTTATTAATGATCAGTGCATTGTTAGTCCTCCTTTAAAGGTTGAACATACTTAAAGTGCTCCTGTACCTGTAAGCTGGACCATCAAGGAAGGCAAATCTCTGACTGTAAACCAGCGGACCTCCTCACTGTTGTGTTGTGTGACTGTTGACATGAAGTGGAGGTCTGAGGTGTGAGCAGGAAAGAGGAAGTCCATCAGGTCTCCTCCAGGATAGAATCTCCTGACCCGACCCTGCTGCCCTGTGGACACTTTTCATACATGAAACTGCAACAACTAGATGTTTAACATGTCATCAGCCCAAACACACTCCCATGTTTCCTTTTGTTATAAAAATGTTTTCTTTAATTGTCTCTCCTGATTGAAGTGGTTTTATGTGAGGTACATCTTGAGGAAATTCTGAAACTTTGGCTTCAAAAGTTTTGGACTGACAGACACAAATTGATTTAGTGAGATTAAAAAAACTGTGTGAAACCTAACAGTTCACATTTTTAAGAATTATTTGATTTCAAAGAGGGGAATACATATCTCATAAATCAAAGTGGACAGACAGATATACAATCCTGTGAAGAACATTTATCGAAAATCTTTTAACTTTCAAGACTTAGAAAGAGTTAGCGAGTGATACCAGCTTTCTTTTGCTCTTCTCTGCTGATCAAACTGATTTTTTTTGTTTTTTTGTTTACGACAGTGTAGTTCAGCAGTGTGGGCTCCTTTCGTCCAGCGTCTTCACTTCAATGTTTCACTCTAACTTTACTCAGACTTTTCCTGCCAGCCCCAGAGAGATTTTCCACACACTCTCATGTATGAACCACCAACTCAGGAGGACTTCAGTGGCAATCTACCTGACTTTCTAGAAATGTTCAGGAGTGCAGTATGTGAAAACAGCTTTTATGTACCAACAGTGTTTGTTGTTTAGCTTAGCTTCATTTAGCATGCATTCACCATTGGTTGATATCAAACCGCTCCTTTCTTACTTGCGGCCTGTTTGAATTCAGACAGCGTCGGTTCATAGATGTCGTAGTAGACTCTGGCAGGGTAGGAGTTGTCTCGAACAAACAGCAGGTCACTGATGTTTGGGTGAATTGAACCCTGCCACAACGTCAGACTGAACCTGGAAACCAAACCACAACAACAAAACAGTCAGAGTGTTACAAAGCACCAAGCACTATAGCATTATAGTACTTAAAGGGGACTTATTATGAATAATCCATTTTCACAATGTGAAATAAACACATCCAGTCCTTTGTTTGTGGTCTGCATAAGTCTTACAACACAGAGAAAAATGCTCTGTTTCAAATGTGCTCTCCTTGTGATGTCACAATGGGATTCTGGTAAAAAAAATCCCCTCCCCAGGTATCTCCACCCATGGACTCCACCCCAGACTAGAGTAAAACTTTAACGCAGGTCGGCCATTTTTATTCTTTCTACAGAGGAGTGATGTCTACTGGGAAAACTCGCATTTAAAGAGACATACACACCAAAACGGAGCGTTCTGAGAGAGCTGGTTTATACAGGGTCACAAACCTCCTCTGGTGCTTGATTCATGTTATATTTTGACCAAAGCACAGCACAGATGTTTCATTTAGACCACAGGGGACTGTTTGAAAAGGGGGAGAAGGGGGAGAATATGTCCTCTATCTAAAGTATAAACAGACCTCCCCCTTGATTTCATGTTCAACAGTCTGCTTCTCTGAGCACCTCCTCCGGACCATGAGGGTTTATTCATGAATATGAAGTCTTTGTGCATAGGTCACTATGATTATGATCGATCTAAGGTTATTGCTAAGATATAGATTTAAAATGTCTTTGTTACCGTGGAGACTGACTAAGCAGCCAGCTGATGTGCTGCCAGCCTCTCTGAACCAACAGGGCATGGACTGGAAACGTCACCTAGAAGAAAATTGTACTTCATGTTTTATTACAGAATTCATACCTTATCAACTACAGGTGTAATGATCAGATACTGGCATCATCTCACTCTGATATCTTGTTCTTATGACTATGAAGAAATAAGTACAGTGTTGATGTTACTTCAGCAGGACTGTATTATATCTGTAAAGAGAAGTGTGGAGGTATCTGTCACTTCAGACATCAAACTCTCTCTACTGCTGGAACGTCTTTCACTTCCTGCTACAGTGAATCTGCTGCATCATGACATAAAACACATCACGGTGAACAGACAACACAAGAGCTTTCTCAATCAAAGCAAATGCTCACTTGAACCAGCATTTAGAAACGTGTGATAAAACACACGTGAGATATGATAAGAACAGTTACAGTCACTTCTGAGAGAATAGCTGATTTTAATAGTGTTTTATGCAGTGTTTGTTAATATTTATGGATTTAATCTGATATATTATGTATATATATATGTATATATATGTATTATATATTATTATTATAAAGTGTAATGTTACACAAATTGACTTTTTTGTTATTCTGTTATTTTAGATGATGTACTTCCTGCTATTTATTATTTGTTTACCTGCCCGGGGACAACGGATGCTAATTAGCTAAATTAGCTGTAAAAAATAAACAATAAATAAATAAAAATGTATCTGTTGTGTCTTTTATGCTGGTATCCAGTACAACTAACTGCAATTTTCCACTAGCTATAGATGGCATGCTTAGTAACATAGTTAAGGATAGGAAGGATTATTCCTCTGTGCTCCTCATCCCAACAGTCCAGTGAACCCTCTCTGCAACACCAGGGAGGCAGTGAGCTCCTGTGTGTGTTTGTGGGGAGTGGATTAAACATTCTCCTGGTTTGTTGTTTCAAATTGTTTAACTTACTCGTGCACGTTTTTCAAAAAGTTGCCCTCCCCAGCTTTAATGAAACAACATGACCTTGTTATTTCATGCCCGTCTTTTGAAAGCTTACCTTTTGGGGGACATCTTTGATCATGTCATACATGTCTTCCACCATGAGTCTGGTGTAGGTTTGAGTGAAAAGTGGGGGAGAATAGGCCACCTGTCAATCAGAAACAATGTCATGTGATAAGGTTACCAGTCAAACCAAAAGTGTTTTAGGCCGTGGACAAACATTACCATCCATCCAGGGGACAAAGTCACATCCTGGAACTTCTCCTGAATTAACTCTAGAAATCTGGAAAAGGAAATAATTGGGGGCAGTGAGTTGAAGACAAAATGGACACTGGATTTATGTTTATTTTCCATCTTTTTATTTGCTTATGCTTGATATAATATACAGTATATTCTATCCTACATTTAATGTAAGTAAGAGCCAGCTACTCCTACCTCATCAACTAACTCTGCTCACCTGTGCAAACAGCTGCCTCCAATCAAACCCAGTATGTTCACTCACTCTTTTCTAGATTGTTCTTTGTTATCCCATGCAAGACTCTCTTGCACTTTTTTTTAACTGATTCATTGTCTGCCTTCCTGCTTTGTTTTAATCTCAGAAATCCCCTCAGCTTTCTGTCCCTGACCACAACTTCTGTCTTTGCAACCCTGGTTTTGTCTGGCTCTCCTCCGGGCTGCCTGGTGTTCCCTGAAACGCGTTTTCCTGGTTACTCCCATATGGATCCCTGTGGTTCAAAGACTCTCCCATAGTGCCACATGTATCTCTGTCTGTGCTAGGTGCTAACACTTTCCTGGTGGCTCCTAGATATGGAAGTGATTAGTGATCAGAATTCAAATGATAAAGCTAATTTGAAAATTAAAATCCATTTTCATTTGAAGTCTGACATCACTTTCCTGCGCCGTCCACTTTACCATTTAATTTTCGAGTTGGTGTGAATTATGATCACTTTTTAGCACGGCAAGTTTGAAAACGAAAAGCCAAAGACCTTTTAGTTTTCATTTGAATTATGTCATACAATATGCATACATAGAGAGTAAAAGTATAATGCAAACTGCATTTTCATTTTAAAATTAGCTTTTTCATTTGAATTATGACACAAATTTAGCGGGGCATTTTTTGAAAATGATAAAGCAAATGTCATTTTCTTCCTCATTTTAATTTAGTCAATGAATGTGCATTTTTGAAGTTGAAAACTAAAATTCAAATTAGATAAATTAATCATCATTTTATTTTTGAGTCAAATAATACACTCATATTCTGAAAATTAAAAAAACATTTCTTTTAATGTATTTTAATTTTCAAATTAGCTTTATCATTTGAATTCTGATCACTAATCGCTTCCATAGAACTGTTACAATATGGCAGATAATAATTTCATGCATGCACATTCAAGCTTGTGCTTATTAGGGAACTGTATGGAAAGCCGATTGAAGATTTAATAGATATCCTTGATATCAAAGCTCAGTTTCCTGTACTAGTCAAGTCTTTGGCCGCACTAGTTTACTAGTAGAACGTTGAAAGACTTACTAGTAAACTAGTAGAAGGCAAAAAGTCCTACATGTTAACTAGTAAGGTGCAAAATATCTACTAGTTAACTAGTAAGATATATTTTGTGTCTACTAGTTAACTAGTGAGCCTAAAAATGTTTACTAGTTAACTAGTAAGAGCAACAATGTCCACTAGTAAGCTAGTTTGACTCTTTTTAACCTTACTTGTAAACTAGTGAGGTTCAAAATGTTTACTAGTTAACTAGTAAGACCCAAATGTCCACTAGTATCACTAGTGATGCAGTTACAAATTTTACTAGTTTACTAGGCTCTTAAAGTCCACTAGTTAACTAGTTAGTGCAAAAAGCCAACTAGTAACACTAGTTCAGGACATTTTAGTGCTACTAGTGAACTAGTGAGGCTCAAAATGGTTAACTAGTTATCTAGTAAGAGCCAAAATGTCACTAGTTACACTAGTAGTACTCTTTTTGGCATAACTAGTTAACTACTACGGTTTTAAATGTTAACTAGTACTACTAGTGAAAGCCAAAATGCGTACTAGAAACACTGGTTGAAGTACATGCTAATGAGTGGGTGGGATCAGGGCACTCTCTGAACCTTATCATTGGTTCTCCATATAGACCTCCACCTTCCACAAATTTAACCCTTTGTAAGAAGGAGCAAGTGCTGTGAAGCAACGGCTTCTTCCTTACTTTCCATGGAGAGTAAAACATGAAAATTATATATATATTAAATGTTAGAATTGTTTTATAAACTTAAAATAAGATAGAAGATCATTTTAGAACTGTTCTCATGATTTTCTTTTTCCTTTTTTATCCCATCAAGACAGTATTTACAGAAAACATAAGAAAGAGTACATCTTGAGGTCAGTAGAGTGATAAAAAAACTGCCCAAGGTGCAATTGTAAGTTAAAAATGAATGTGTAAATATTTCATATAAATTCATGCTGTTTTTAAAAAGGAAAAAAGTTAATCAGATAAAATTATGGACTTTAAAACAACTGGAACTTGATACAGAATTTATGTTCTTGTACTTAATACGTTTTAATTTGGCCTAAAGTCGGTAAACTAAGAAAAATAAAGGGATTCAAGATTAGGGCCACGTAAAAGGAAAAAAACCTAAAATTTAGAGATTCAAATAGTTAATTTATGAGAATAAAGTAAAATGTACGAGATTAATTTCTTGTTTAAGTCTATATCAGAAGAGCAGCAGCCGCCTGTTCGAAAATGATAAACGTGGAGCATCTTGTTATAGTAAAGGTTTAACAAATAAGGAAATAGGCTCCTTCCTTGTGTAGTCTGTAAAAACAGTTGGACAAATATATCCGATAAGTTGTTTTATCGGCATATCATCATCACAAATAAAATATCAGGACCCTGAAAAGATACTGGAAGCAACTGTAACTTTTGTGGCAGAGGAAAATGCTTTAGGGGTTCTCCTTTCATCATTTATGCGCAGGCGGAAGGCTTCTCTATGAATGTACATTTTCGTAAATTTATGACTTTATTCTCCTAAATTTACATGTTTATTCTCGTACATATACAAGATTAATCTCAAATATTTTCTTTTTTTTTCTTTAAGATGGCTCTACTCCATCGTATAAATGAGCCCTAAAAATGTAATTTTATTATGTAAAATGAAGGTTAAAAATTGTACTACTTGCAAATGCCCCACAGATGGGGCTATACGTATATATACTGCTAATGTCTACAGTACTAGTACTACTAGTTGACATTTAGGCCTTTACTAGTGCTACTAGTTGCACTAGTAGCACTAGTCGTACTAGTAGCACTAGTCACACTAGTCGTACTAGTAGCACTAGTCACACTAGTCACACTAGTCGTACTAGTCGCACTAGTAGCACTAGTCGTAGACAGAGACAGAGAGAAAGAGAGAGAGAGAGAGAGAGAGAGAGAGAGAGAGACAGACAGACAGAGACCCTTTTCTTGGCTCGGTGCCACTTCAGCTAGCACGGATAAGCACCTCCACTACTGTGGGTCTACCTGCTGAAGGTGTTTATAAACTGATGTCTCATTGTCTTAAGTCCAAGATGATTCAAATAAGTTGGCTGTGGCTCTAACTCTTGGGCAAGGAAGTGGCTGAGTACTCTTTCTCACTACAGCCTTCGCAACTACAATCGCCGCTGCAGCTCCGAGTGATAAACGCATTTAGTTCCGGAAAGTCTTTCACAATAAAAGTCCCTTATTACCATCTATGTGATGTGCTTTTATTTTGAAGCAGATGAATGAGGAAGTTGGGTCTTGTAAGCAGCTGCAACTTAACATATCTCAGATGTGTGAAAATAAATACTTAAAACCAAGAAGATTCAGTTAGAAGCTTCAGTATTTAATAGGTAAACAAACAGAGACTAAAACATCTAATATTTAAGCTCATACAGGTTCATTTTAAAACAATAAATGGATTATCTTTCATCTCAGGTTTAGTTGCAGCTACATCAGCCTTTGAGGCTGCATTTGAGACTAAAAATAAAAAAACTAAAAACACTAAAATACTCTACACTGTTTATGATTGAGACAAAGTCCCCTTTAGTATTTTCTTAAATAGTTTAAACATTTCCCTTCATAAAACAGCTGAATACTTGAACATATAATATATTATATAATATAATAGTAGAATATATTGGTATATCAGAAGAGCAGGAGCCGCCTGTTCGAAAATGATAAACGTGGAGCATCTTGTTATAGTAAAGGTTTGACAAATAAGGAAATAGGCTCCTTCCTTGTGTAGTCTGTAAAAACAGTTTGACAAATATATCCGATAAGTTGTTTTATCAGCACATCATCATCACATTGTCATAAAATATTAGGACCCTGAAAAGATACTGGAAGCAACTGTAATTTTCCAAAGAAAAAACCACACTGACTTGGATGAAACTGTCTCTTTTGTGGCAGAGGAAAATGCTTTAGGGGTTCTCCTTTCATCATTTTTTTATTCTCCTAAATTTACATGTTTATTCTCGTACATATACAAGATTAATATTTTCTCTTTTTTTCTTTAAGATGGCTCTACTCCATTGTATAAATGAGCCCTAAAAATTTAATTTTATCATGTACAGTAAAGGTTAAAAATTGTACTATTTGCAAATGCCCCACAGATGGTGCTATACGTACATATACTGTCTACAGTACTAGTACTACTAGTTGACATTTAGGCCTTTACTAGTAGCACTAGTCGCACTAGTCGCACTAGTCGCACTAGTAGCACTAGTACTACTAGTGGACATTTAGGCTCTTACTAGTAGCACTAGTCGCACTAGTAGCACTAGTCGCACTAGTCGCACTAGTAGCACTAGTGCTACTAGTAAGAGCCTAAATGTCCACTAGTAGTACTAGTGCTACTAGTGCAACTAGTGCAACTAGTGCTACTAGTACTACTAGTGCTACTAGTAAGAGCCTAAATGTCCACTAGTAGTACTAGTACTGTACACATTAGCAGCATATATAAGTATAGCACCATCTGGTGGGCATTTGCAAGTAGTATCTTAATTTTATGCTTTAATCATAAAAACATGACTCCTCATATGATAAAATAAATCTTGATGTATGTTGCTTGTGCACTTATATCTGCTCACTGCCATATGTATCTTTTCTGCTGGGCTTACTCGAAGCTAAACCAAGAAAATTTAGCAAGTCCATAACATACCGATCCTGCAACTGACACCTAATGGCCGAAATGCATATCTCTCTGCAGCTACTTCTTGTATAAGGGTTATTTCTCCAGATGTAAGAGGCTGACTTTATATTTATAAAAAAA